CTCTTTGTCTGTGCAAAGTCGACAAAGAACACACTACTACTGCTCTTTGTCTGTGCAAAGTCGACAAAGAACACACTACTACTGCTCTTTGTCTGTGCAAAGTTGATAAAGCAAAGAACTTACTTTCTTTGTTAACAAATCTGAACTGTCTTAACGCTTCACTTTCAGTGGAAAGACGGAATGTGTTTTTTTTTTTAATGACTGTTATTTTTGTGGGCGAGTTATATGGCATTAGTGCCCACGCACATTAGGACAATGCCGTACCTCACACGTCTGAAAAGTATGGCGTTATAAGCGGTGAAACGAGACAAACGGACGCAAATCGCCTCATTTCCTAAAGTGCGCAGGTCCTGATCCGAGTCAGAACTCTATAGACTTTTTAGGTTACCCATTGACTTGAATGTTTTTTGACCGCCTGTGGTTTTATTTTTAGTTGCTACGAACTCCATAATTGATCGTTTAGACCCTTAAGAGAACATGGGTTTAAAGGTCTGTAGCGGTTTTCTCGTGTGATTTAAAATTTCATTTAACACATGCCCATTAATTATAGCCACTTCGTATGACGTCTTCTTGATTTTTTTTTACCATTTTTAAAAAAGTAGGAGTATACCCTACTGCCAACACAATTTAGATAATTTAGGAGGCAGGCTTCGATCCTGTCGGCCAGGACCAACCCGGGCTGAGAGGAACACAACGTCAAAGCAAAACGACCGAGGAACTCAGTACAAATTCTCCCCACGCGGGAATCGAACTCAAGTCTTTTGCGTGCGACGGCGAAGCGCAAGGCCGCTTCACTAAAGACGCCAGAGTATGTGGTATAATAGGTGAAAATCTTTGCACACAAAAGAGGGGAATTCGATTCCCGTTAGTGGAAGATACTCTGTAGAGTATCTTTCTGTGTCTATCTGCTAGGTTGAGGTATCCCGCACAGCTGGAACCAGTGCAAACAGGTAGGATCGATACCTCGCCTCCCATATAATAATATTATGGGAGTGTATACAGACCCGGTAACCGGGAATAAAGTCACAAAGTATACAGACCCGGTAGGGGAACTCTTTTGTGATTTCGGAAACTTTCAGCACCCTCTTGGCTCAGGGTAGAACTAGGTTCTTCTAGATCTATGGCCTAGGTCTAGATCTAGACAGACAGATATAAATCATTGATCTAATTTCGAGGCTAGCCTAGATCTAGACTGTAGATCTAGATCTAGATTCTAGATCTAAAACTAAATGAAGATTGCGGATGTCTTTTCGATGAACGATCGTTTTTCCCCTGTTTTGGAGTTGGAGGAATCACAATTTGAAGAAAAGAACAATGTCATAATTTCAATCGAGCAGTCTCTCTCTCTCTCTCTCTCTCTCTCTCTCTCTCTCTCTCTCTCTCTCTCTCTCTCTCTCTCTCTCTCTCTCTCTCTCTCTCTCTCTGTATCGCTCGCATTCTTTTTTTCTTTGTTTGTCTCTGTCTTTCGTTCCTTCCTGCCAACTGGCAGACATGTCATATTATATACATTTTGCTAGCACTTCCCCCTGCGCTCTCTCTCTCTCTCTCTCTCTCTCTCTCTCTCTCTCTCTCTCTCTCTCTCTCTCTCTCTCTCTCTCTCTCTTTAACTCACACACACACACACACAGACACACACGCACACATTACCGGGTCTGGGCGCTGAAACCCTCCGAAATCACAAAAGAGTTCCCCTACCGGGTCTGTATACTTTGTGACTTTGTTCCCGGTTACCGGGTCTGTATACACTTCGTAATATTATACATTACACAGAATCGGAAGCTGTGTTTACGATCAATTGTTTGATATCGTGATTCCTTTTAGTAGAGGGGAAGGGGGGGGGGTCAGCTGGTAATACATGTATTTAATATTTTGTCTTGTTATGTGTATGTGTGAGTGCACCTGACCTTTGTAACATCCACTACATTTGTAATCAACCAAGACAGATTTCTCCTTGAGAGATGGATAAAGATTGCCATGGTCATAGTCATATTTATTTTATAATAACCAAGTTATGATATTATTTATAAGAATACGTTTTTTGTTTTTTTGCAGTTCAAAATTTCAAATGTTTTCGGGCAATAAACGTGTGAGTGAGAGAGAGAGAGTGAGTGAGAGAGAGAGAGAGAGATAGAGAGAGAGAGAGAGAGAGAGAGAGAGAGAGAGAGAGAGAGAGAGAGAGAGAGAGAGAGAGAGAGAGAGAGAGAGAGTGTGTTTGTGTGTGTGTGTGGGAAGGGGTGCCTGGTGAGGGAGTGGATATCAGAGAGAAAGAGAGATAGAAGGACAGAGTGAGATAGAAAGATATTGAGAGATACAGAGAGAGATAGATAGATAGATAGATAGATAGATAGATAGATAGATAGATAGATAGATAGATAGATAGATAGATAGATAGAAAGAAAGAAAGAGAGACACAGAGACAGACAGAGAGCGAACATGCTGAATCAATGAAGTGTTGTTATTGTAAACATGATTTCAGAAGCGGATTAATCTAGTGGAGATATGCACAATGAAAATTGCAATGCAGTCTATACTGATTGTTATTTCTTTCGTTCTAAGACAATAACTATTTAAAATCGGGAAAAAACTTGATCTTTACTGCTCTTTTTGGCCTTTTGAAACTGTTCTTTTTTCTATGGAAGTTCAAAGACCCTTCAATGAGATGATCTTAACACACTCACCGGAAGTAGTCAGGAAATCGAAACCTCATTCCAGGGAGCTTGACAGACCTTTATGTGACGTTCCAGGGAATCGAAAGGGGAAAAGAAAACTAGTAGCCACCGCAAAGTGTAATAAAACAAAAGAAAAGAAAACAAAACAACGCTTGACGAGGTTGTGCACGGACATAAATGCAAGATCAAAGAGGTCAATATTCTGAGGGGTCAGTATGACTTTGGAATTATACCTTGTAAAGTGATCGCTTCCGTTGTCAAGTTGGATGGAAGGCAAATTTTAGAACTTTGCAATCAAATCTTTGTCCTTTGACTGTATTTGTGAATCACAGAATTATACAGGAAATATCGAGACCAGGAAGCGGAATTCGTCTTTTAGATAAGATAAGATAAATCTTTACTGTCCAGACACCGGCACACTGGTTTGGTATTCCACCAGTCACTTCCGCTCACCCACCCCACGTAGACATACATCATCCATACACAAACCCAACCACCCCCCACCCACGCACACTCACACACACAAATTAATACACTTGCGAGTGCATACCTGCACACATGCACGTATTCTCTCACCTATTCTCTCTTATTGCACACACAATAATAATATACACAGCATCAAGTACAAATCTAAGACAGACATCTGCGAACATATTTATCCATTCATGTCTTTGCTCGGATGCTCTAAAAAGCAACATCATCCTGATTTTTCCCCCTCCCCCATCTGTTTGGGCCCTTCAAGTAAGTTGTCCAGTTTGCCATCAATTTTGCCAGTGATAGTTTGATGTTCAAGGTCCTTATGGCTATTCAAATGTCCAAGAAATTGCAGTTATCGCTTGTTTATTGTTGTTTTTCATCAGTGAACCGCAGATGTGGGCTTCATCAAGTTTTAGGCGTACTAACCCATTTGAATTCTTTTCCTTCCAAGAAATTCTCAACAATCTCCCAAGAAACCTCATTTCTACCCAAAAAATGCCTAAAGAAAACATCAACCTCAACAAAAAGGAGTAATTGGTACTCGCCTTCGAAATGGCTCAGAGCATCTGCAGGTTAAGTGTTGCACAAGTATTAACGTAAAAACGCCAAAGGGGTTACTTTTTAAAGCCAATGTCTTAGTCTTAAATTTTTATCGTTGTCTGGGGAGAGTACTCACAATTTATACTGTAGTCTATGAAAACCCTAAAAATAACGTGCTTCCCAAGCCTCTTTGAGTATTGTAAAATAAACAAAACGGTTTACTGCACCGAATCCAAAAATGGCACAGATTTAATGAACTTACTAAAGCAAGACAGGGAATTTCTTAATTGCAAGTCAAGGTTGTTAGCTACCTCTAAATCACCTTCGTTTTTGTAAAAGAGAAGCACGTCGACAAGATAACGATCAATTAACGTTGGGGAAGAGCAGGCAGAACAGACATGCTATGAACGAATGGAGGGATGGTAAAGAAATGACTCGCCAGCAATACCCACCAACCACCTGTTGCAATACTGCAATGAATCAGTTTATTTATCAAAGCCAACACTCAATGCTTATACATAGGCAGTGCAATGACTAATGACAATGACCAACCTCCTTCATCTCTCAGGAAGAAAACGTGTACAGTACAGCCACAAGAAAACATTCCCAGACTCAAAGACGGATACACACGTGAACAGACTCACCGGTGTATCCAGTGTAGCAGTTAGGCTTCTGGAGACCTAAGATCGATTCCTGGAAGGAGAGAAAATTTATATCGGATATTTAGGTCTTTCTGACAGAATGTTGTATCCTTCTCAGCCCGGATTTGCCCTGGCAGGCAGGGTTGGAAGCCCACTTCCTAAATGGTCTAAAGTGTGTCGAAAAGAGGCTATGAACGCCTGGATAAAAAAACCCCCATTGAACTGACCCATACACGAGTTCAAACACAACAGACTCATAGAAATCTCGTCAAATTTGTATTTGGTTGTATCTGCACCTCAACATTATTATACTCTAACACAAATATCCCTTGGGTACAGAATCAAACTTAATAAATCTAACTGTTTTTTAACGCCCAGAGGAAACATTCTATTGCATTTAGGAAGCATGCTTCCGACCCTGCCTATCAGGACCAACTCGGGGCTGAGAGTGGATACACCATCTTAGCAAAAAGAAAGAGTTACTCGATAGAATTCACCTCACTCGAGAATCGAACCGGGGTTTCTGTGTACGACAGCGAAGAGTCTAACTGCTACCTCACAGACGTCAGCAATTTTTAAAAAAATATCTCTTTTTAGAATGTTTATAAATTCACACATGTATAATGCGTTGTTTATTTTGCCCTTCCCTTCCATCTCACCCCACACCCACCAGTCGACCAGTTGTCTCCTCCGCTCAGTCGTAGCCGTGGCCTTGACCTTGTTGGTGGTCATGGCGGGCAGTTCCTCCTCCAGCCTCGCCCCAAGGAACACACGACACTACGCTGGCAGGTGAGACATGTTGCTGCTCTTCTTCTTCTTCTTCTTCTTCTTCTTCTTCTTCTTCTTCTTCTTCTTCTTCTTCTTCTTCTTCTTCTTCTTCTTCTTCTTCTTCTTCTTCTTCTTCTTCTTCTTCTTCTTCTTCTTCTTCTTCTTCTTCTTCTTCTTCTTCTTCTTCTTCTTCTTCTTCTTCTTCTTCTCTTCCTCCTCCTCCTCCTCCTCCTCCTCCTCCTTCTTCTTCTTCTTCTTCTTCTTCTTCTTTTTAGTAGTAGTAGTAGTAGTAGTAGTAGTAGTACTAGTAGACTCTATTAATAGTAGTAGTACTGTTGTTATTGGTGTTGTTGTTATTGTTGTTGTCGTTGTTGTTGTTGTTGTTGTTGTTGTTGTTGTTGTTGTTGTTGTTGTTGTTGTTGTTGTCGTCTTTGTTGCTGTTGGTGCAGCTGTCATTATCGTCGATAGGGACCTCAATCCCACCCCACCCCCTCCCAACAAATCTAGGCCAAGAGTGCCCCGTTGAGACATCCAATCCATAGTCCAGCATGATACCCATTGAGTAATCAGATTAGCCCACTGTGAATAGGAAGAGGATGACTGCTGCAGAATTATGGCTCACGTCGAGTCTATGCGATTAAGCCCAATTCTCGCAAGGGAATTCATTAGGATGATGGTGACTCATAAAAATTGCAGGTCTCCACACCAGATTGGTCTCGTTTTTTTATTTGAGTGAAGAGAAGTGTATCGACGCAATTAGAATCAGTTAGACCAAGGTCTGTAGTGTGGCGGTTATACGCTTCTTCGTCCGACGCAGAAGACCAGAGTTTCAGTCTCGTGTTGGGAGAATTTCTTTTATGGAGTATACTACTCTTCTTTTTCGTGGGATGTTGTCTACCTCTCAGCCCGGGCTTGAACTGACAGGCAAGGTCGAAGCCCAACTTTTAGATGGTCTAAAAGGTGTCGAATAAAAGTGGGAAAATATAGAATAACATCAAGAGGCTAGCCCAGGATGGGGAAATATAAAACGTGTTTGTTCCTTACCTTTACCCTGATCCAGGGTGAGAGAGGCAATGCTGATGATGAGTTGGATAGTTACACATACATTTATACAAATGAAAATATAAGAGATGAGTATTAACACAATAAATACCATTCACTGCAGAGAAAAGTCTGCAAGACTGACGTACAGAAACAACACAGGGGAAAAGAAAAAGTAGAGCCAGTTAATGACAACTTCCAGCCAGATGACCATTATGCATAATATAGACGTGTAAGTGTAAAGAGACAATTATAAAAAAAGCCCCCTCTAAGTCCAAGAGTTCTAAAATGCAGCTGTAAAAAAATAATAACTGAAAGAAAAAGCAACAACAACAACCATAACAAAATCACACAGAATGAAAAGACGACGTAAGACGACACATATGCCCCTTTCTTCCTCTGCTCCCACGTTTTGTTATACGAGCGAGCACTCCGACCACTGGGCTTTTTCTCCGAGGTCACAAGAGAATTATTCAGATCTGCCTCTCGTGATTTTCTGAGTTAGCTCGGACGCCTCTCGAACCTCGAAGAAACCAGAACGTTTCGGCAGTTTGTGCATCGCTGATGTGGCGAGGAGCCATTCTGTAATTAAATCTAAGACACGCACAACCCTTTCTTTGCACCCTCCCATTGCCTTTTAATCAGCAATGCTAAGAGCTAGTTTCCGTTTGTATTTCCTTGTTTTTCCCAAATCCCTGTGAGCACAACTAGCTTGTTTATCGATTATTCCAAAGGGAGAAAAATAGCACACTGATGTCTATTCTTGTAAGAAGTATCATGTCTGTTTCGTAGAGTAGCTTTGGTAAAATTCTTCAGAAAGCAGTTTTGTGATAAGCACAGCGTACATCCATGTTGTCGCAACTTGTCTATAGTTGTTCAGATATTTCTTTTGACTCCATCTTCTTTGTGAACACAGCCTTCTCGAACGCCTGAAAAGTTTTCTGATGCGCAATACGCCCAGCCACGTTGACACTTTGCTACCTTAGAATTACAAAGTTGTATCTGACATTTTTGGTCGTTTTGAGTTACTAAAACCATGAGATCAGAAACCAAATGTTCTATCTGCAGTCTGCTTTATAAAAATCGTAAGACTATTGGGAGTCGTTATCAAGATATTCGAAGAATTGCATTTGAAAAAGCTTGCCATGTTGTGAAACTCAAAATGTTTTACGTCAAATTGATCAAAACTAGATACCGAGCAGGCAGATAGAATTGTGTAATTCTAGGGTGACGATTTGCCACTTGTCTATGGTTGTGCGATATTATTATGTCTTGATTACATTTGCTTTGTGGGCGTCTTCTGCGATGTCATGCAGGGTCTTGCCCTTTAGGAATGTCCTTTTTCATAGTGCTGTGTGTCTTTTGTTGACTAAAGTATTGGATTGTGGTCATAATGAAATGTGCATATTCGTTATCCATTATGATGTGATAGTATGAATGTTTGCTAATGTGTTAGCGTTATCATAAAGAGCGTGTATGCATGTTCGTTCACGACTTGTGTTTTGTATAGAGATGACGGTTTTGTAAAGCGCCTTGCGTTGTACTGTACGGAGTTTGTTCCAAAGAAAATGACTTGCGTTGTTATTATTGTCGGTATCTTGATGTATCAAGAAACCAGTTCTATTTCCGTTATATTTCTTTCTAAACTTGCTCTTCTTTGAATCCATGTCTGATGATAGTTGAATAGTTAAAAACAACACATCACAGAACTTAGAAATAATCATTTTGAAGTATCGGTGTTCTCCCTTTCCCAGACAATGAGTGAAGAGGAGATGTTTTAAGAAGAATGAGGAAGATGCGTTTAGTCTCCCCCTCCAAGTGTATAAAGAAGATATTCGATTCAAACCTCTGATTTAATGCGTGGCCAATCATGCTCGTAAGATACGGCAGCACAACAACCAGAAACGATCTGAGGATTTGAACGGAAACTAGGATAAAGATAAACACAATAAAGCAAAAAAAAACAAACAACAATAAAGCATGAAAAGCAAAATGAAAACAAAACCTTTTCATCACACTGTGTATCGTCGTGATCATGCACATCTCATGTCGTGTTAAACGCATCCCGCTCTGATTATCTGCCCTTAGATAACCAAATACTTTAATCTCGCGGCTCTCTCTGCCCTGCCCATGCTTTCACGCGCGGAAGTCCCCTTTAGAGAAATCTAAGTCATGTTCATAAGGCTATCACTCTAGAGCTCCAGTGGCCTAATTGGGTCCTTTGCGTGAAAGAGGCTAAGACCTGCTTAGATAATATTTTAGCGCGATATGGAAAGAAGAGGAGTTAATTAAGTCTCGTCATTGGATCCTCATACTTTGGGTGATCTTCATGCATGTGTTCATGGAGAGAATTCCAGGTGTTAAGGAAATGAACGAACAGTGTAAAAAGCAATAACAACATCACCCACGCCAGGAGAGTGTGTTTTCTGAGCTTTCTAGATCTTTAAACCAATCAGTTCCATCAACCTCTAAAAAACAGAATTCCCACTTGGAAAAATTGGAATTATTTTGGATTGCATTGTCAAGGACGACCTTCGTGGGGTCAAGAATGTGCTTTCTAAAATGTGAAATGTTAAGGCTGCGCCCCCTCACACAGATGGCCTGGAAAAATGACGTATCCCCTTCATTTTTGTACAGTATTAATAAGAGTTCTATGGAACTTGCAACACAAAAAGGTAATATAAGTGCAAAAGAACCGAGGTTTTACAAGACAGCCACAAGCACAAATAGAAGGAGGAGAGATGACGATGATATATGTTTGACAGGAAAGAAGGAGCAAAACAAATCGTAGTACCCGCTGACCACCCAACTTCGTTGCTGAGACTTTTCCATCTACGTTTGATGCACGATGGAAAGTCCATTTACGAGAGTTCCAAAAAAAGCCAAAATATCTTTCCATTTCATTTAGAGTAATTATCTGCACACGCTGTAGACCTGTTTCCTAGAACGTCCTTAGCCGGTAAAATTGTAATGCCAAGAAATAAGTTTTGAAGTACAGTGAATAAAATGCTCACTCTGAGAAATACTCGTAGCTTAAATTTGCTCAAAGAGTGCAACAATTTCATACTATACCAGCGTCATTGGTTGTTTAATGTATTTTACAGCCCAACACGCACACCCTGGATCGATTTGGAGACATGAACCCTCAATCGCAAGAGCCAAACACGTGTTTAGAAACGTTTACTGGTGGTTTCACTAATATATTCATATCCATATTCATATCCATATTCATATTTATATACATGTGTATAGATATCGTGTAAGAGCCAATTGCATGGTAAGACCCAATTGCGTGTCAATCTGTCAAAAGCGTGGGGAATTTCCTTGCACCATCCGGTTTCGCACCACATTTTTATACCGCTTTTTTTTCTCCCGAAAGTGCAACGCCACGCTGCCTTGCAATGACGTCATGCCAATTGTGTGTCAGACTTCTCCTTCTTTGCACACTAGAGAATCTATAGAGGTCTAGTTAGTAAGCAAACTACTACCAAGAACATTAACTATAAACGTATGGAAACAGAATGAAACCCAAATGGAATAGGTCTCTCCTGGTTCCAGTTCTGTATTTGTGACATGGCTTATTTTATTCCAAACCGTCTCCCTGATTCAAAACACCATAACTAACTAAACATAATCTAACAACTTTGAATACGAAAGAAATAAAATCAACTTTTGTGGAATGGTTTTCCCCTTGTTTCCTATCACACCTCTATCATCCCTATGTCCTCTCCTTCTTTTCTTTGTATGTTACTCCCTGGTAACATTCTAATGTTCGGCTCTTATATGACTACTTGTCTTGCAAATGCTGTACATCCTCCATCTCGTCACGAAAGAATTGCTCAATACGTTTGCGAACGAAGCATTCTGAGTCAAAATCAATGTCTTGGACTTCAACTTTAGTGCTCAATTGTGCGCGGCCATGCATTGCTATCCTCAACAATCTCGGGGACGATATTGACAAGGAAGTATTTAATTCACAGTGACATAAAACTGGCAATGGTGCTGCACGGTGCATGTCGTTCAGCCTCCTTGAATTGGTAACATCACTAGCAATTGGCTCCCTGCAACGGAACTGGCCCCTAGCCATGCAATTGGGTCCTATGTATAGGTGGGGGGG